TCTGTTGATGATGACGGTGTTGTAACATCTGAAGATCTAGAAGATCCGTCAGCTGTTGTGCTTCCTTCAGTTGATACGGATGTTGTAGCATCAGAGGTACTGGAAGCTTCGTCGTCTGTTGTGGTCTCTACTGTTGATGATGATGGTGTTGTAACATCCGAAGTGCTAGAAGATCCGTCAGCTATTGTGCTTCCTTCAGTTGATAGGGATGTTGTAGCATCTGAAGTGCTGGAAGATCGGCTGCTTTTAGTTGATAGGGTTGTTGGGCCATCTGAAGCGCTGGAGGTTTCGTCAGCTGTTGAGCTCTTATCAGTTGCTAATGACGGTTGTTGATTTTTTGTGGTTGTTGGTATAAGCGTTACGGGTGGCTCCGCTGTAGTTATGAATGTTAGATTGTCACTTTCTGTGCTTGGATTAGGTGTAGTTGAATCTATGGAACGATTAGTAAGTTTTGTGTTATTGCAATTTGTTTTTTCTTAATAGATCACTTTTAATTTTCTTTCATACTTACATAGAAGACCAGCCGGGTTATTATTATCTAAAATCAATGAGCCACTTTCGGGTTTTGGCTCATCATAAATATTGAACGGTTCTTCCGTAATTGTACTCCATAGATGAGTATTATATATAGGATAAGGATTAGTTGAAGTTGTGATCTGGCCAGTGGTAGTCGCCTCGGTAGTGGTGTTGATTTTGTTTTTACAAATAGTGCGAAACTGTATAATAAACTTTAAGGCCCCAAAGCCACTATGTAAAACGACTGTTTTGTTTATTGGCATATCGTTTCCAAGAACGATCAAAAGACAAAGCGTGAATATATGTTTTAGCATTTTTGTTTTTATAAATATTCGTTTTTATTATTGACATCTGTATAGTACATCCAAGTGTTGTCACTTAAGGGTTTATTTTTAATGTTTTAAGATTATAGGCCTGTTGTCAGGCACTTGTTTAACCGAAGGTTTTTCGTGTTACTGAAAATAAAAGATGTTTTGTACAATAAGTTGCTCAGAATATATAAAATAATACGGCACCCATACATAACTGTTTTAAAAGGAAGAAACTCGATCAACCACCAATTTTATTTTCCATAAAATACAGTTTAAAATTCCATCAGTGCCACTTTAAATTGCCAAATCAAGTTCGAATGAAGATCTTTAATAAAACTTTGCCCAAAAGGTGTCTTTATTCTATATGTATTATTTTCGTTTTTCTCACAAACCTTTTGTCGAATATGTCGGTCAGTGTGGTATATATATAGTATATATAAAATTACTCGGTTGAAATTTACAGGTGTATAAAATGTTCTGTTACACCCGAGCTTAGCCCTTCCTTTCTTTTTTTTACTAGCTTTTGGTTATATACTACATTCATATGTACTCCATGGAGGTGTCAAATACACCATCACTTACTAAAATTACAAAAATAGCTGCATGTAATCCAACCACTTTGGCATATAGCTAACATAGACTGTGACAAAAAAGCATCCGGAAATTATAATTAAATTCCCCGGTAGATGATATTTCGTGTCCTTAATTACTTGCCAATGAGCGCAATCTGACAACCCGTTTGTTTCAGCAGCTACTGAAGTCGCTACTCCTCAGTAGGGCGTTACGATTTTTGCAATGGATAAAAATATCGAAGAAAGAATTTTTCTCAAATTTTTAATTTCTAACCAAATTTCTTGTGCTTAAACGTTTCGTATTTTGGAAAAAGCTTACAGTGATTCAGTTTTATAAAAAACACAAGCCTGCGAGTGGTACAAAGCCTACAAAGATATACCCCATTCAGGACGAGTTTCGTCCTCTTCAACTGATGAAAATATTAAAAAAGCGAAGGATATGCGGCTTGAAAATGGTCATACAAATATTAGAGAGATGGTAATAGAGCTCGACATCTCTCAACCCGAACAAGCTGATTTTTTCTTTTAAAGAGTACCGTGGTTGTTGTTGTATCGGGTACCTAAACCCATTTGCATAGTAAGTATTAGATAAGTTGTCATCGAGGCCAGCCAACTGTAGGCCCAGGAAACTCGCTGTTTCGACGGGGTTGTATCATAGAGAGAGGAGAATGTCAGATGTGTGGGGTTAGAAGGACGTGCAAAAATGTGGCAAGTGTCATGTGGGTTCAAAAGTATTTTAGAAAAGAGTATTGTAAACAGGTCTCTTTGAATATTCTATTCTCAAAAAGTGCTTCTGAAATATGTTACGAAAACTGGAAAATCGTTGGCATAAATAGATTACATCTGGTGGGGAAGACGTCAATTGATATTGATAAATAATTAAAAATTTTGAGTTTTATTCACAATTTCCGGATACTATTTTGCCACAATATACATATTGTCCAATCAAAAGTTATTTTTGGAAACTTCTTCATTTGCGAAGGAGATTTTTATATTATTATTATTATTTTGTAAATGCTTTATTAGTTTTAGGTTATTTATACCACTTTTTAGGGGTATTTCAATAAGTCATTTAATTATTTTTTGTTTTTTGGTTGGATTGAACGGAGTAATTTAAAATCACTTAGAATTCGCACTTAAAAAAATACACACAATTTTTAGATAATTGAAATAAATTTTAACATTAAATATCCGATTTAGTACTTAAAATATTTGCAATAATTTTGGGGTGTATGGTTATTAAGTTTATATTTATGATATAAATTGTGTTAAACGCATATAAGTTTATAATATCCAATATGTATAAATATCCTTTTTAAAATTAAAAATTCATTTTTATTTCGCTTCACCTTATAATACATGTACTTCCAGTGACATATTATATATAAATGAAGAGTACAGGCGGTATTGACTGTTATTAAAAATCCTTTTTACATCACTGAAAATGCATAGAATTTTCATGTGCACTTGTGTCACTTCAAAAAATAAAGTATATTTTATTTATTTAAAGTAACATTTTTGATTATATATGTATGTGATATATTAATTTTTTTATTATTATAATTTTTTTTTTTTAATTAACTTCATTTATTACTCATCTAAATTCAGTTAATTAAAAATATGAAATGTTCTTCTCCAATCACTGCAAGCACACACTACCCCACACTTTCAAGAAACTTGGTTGTATTTATTTCAAACTAACACATTTTTCAACACCATTTTTTTAAAAACCACCAAAAATTTTATTTTATTATAGTTAAACTTTTTTTTTTTTGTTCCTTTCAAAAATCCTTTTTTTGAAACACTGAGAATTTTGCTCGCATACTTTTCCATTTAACAAATAATATTATTCTTTTTCTCCAAACACTGCAAAAAATATTTTAATTTCATTTGTATTATATCCACTTATAAAATATTTATGAATATTACACAGTACACTTAAAACAAAAACAGTATTTTAAATACCAAACACACAACATATTTCAAATTAAAAATTGTACCTAAACCTTATTTATTATTTATTTTCTAATTTTTTTTTTAATTTTATCTCACACAACTTGAAATCCTTGAATATTTTTGATTACTAAAAAATTCAATCACTGAAAAAATCATACGATTTTAATTTTTTTTTTTTTTTTTTTTGTGTAAAATTTGAAATTTCCACAAAACTTCTTTAAAACAATTTTAAACAATTTACTTAATTTTTTTTTTATATGTAACAAATATTAGTATTCATATTTTCTTACACTTTTTACACACGTCAAATTTGTTTCACAACTGGCGGATTCTTTTATCCTTTTTTCAGGATTAAATCCTGTTACACTAATCTTTTCACAAGGACACAATGCACATTATTATTTCTTTTATTATTAATTACTTATTTACTTATTATCCACTGATAGTTCACGTTTTCGCGACGACTCGTTTCGAACAACTGGAATCAAATTTTAATATTTCACTATTTTATTGAGTTTTTTGTTGCGCAATAATCGAATGAAAATTATTTTGCACTCATAGTTTTGCTCGCATTTAATCAAATCACGCGACGTATTTCGAGACATTCTCAATACTTTGTTTCGGAACGTGATTGGACGTCATTCTTGTTTCCACTCTGTCTAACAGTTCTGAAGTAAGCTAGCCTAGGTTAGCTTGTTTGTGCGCCAAGCGGTGAGACTACCAATATGTTGCTACAAAACGAGTCTATGAACGAAAAAAAATAAAATAACATTCTTACAATACTTTTTTCCGTTTAAGTATTTATAATTTCATTGTTCATTCGCTCGGCGGAAAAAAAAAATTGGAAAAGAATTTCAGTTCAATCGGAAACACACATAATATTTCCTGTTGAGTTAACCAATGTATATTTCAAACTCTTGAAATCGAAAATTTTATAAAAGTGCTATCAACCCTCTCAAATATCCCGGACGTGGCCCATTGAAGCCATAGACACGTTAATACGTAAGCATAGGTGTTCCGCTGCAAGTAATGCATTTGAATCAAAACTCAAGTAGACGATAAAGATGACATAGACATGGCTTACGCAGCTATAGCCTAGTCTAACCATATTCAGTAACACAAGAGTGCCAATTAAGTCAAAAGAAACCATCATCTGGCATGGCTGTAGTAGAATTGCAGTAAAGCGCATGGCATATGAGCTTGCTCAGGTACGTCTGTCTCTCTGTTTGCAGAATGAAAACAATGCCTTCTTGCAGTGCACTACTGGATGGATGGACCTCAAGCCAGCTCGTCAAGCGTTGGTCAGATACTAGCAAATTCACCTTTCAACCGTTATATTTGTAAAAGTTCAATTGGACACTACATAATCGGAATCTATGCGCTTAGATTGAAAATTTTACTGTATGCGAGTTGTAAAAGCTGCTTGGAAGAAGATGAGGGAGAATCATCTAAGCACTTTCTTTTCGATTGAGGGAAAAATTTGTTTTAGGTTTCATCCATGGAGTAGGAGATCACGCGTAACCCGCAAAATATTTAATCTTCTTCTTCGAAAACTCAAGGTATATTCTTAAAACATGCATTTTACATTTGTCGAAAAGCAAGTAAAAATCGTGTGATGTTATGCCGAGGCACACGGCCGTTGGTTTTAACGTGAAACGTGTTAGCGAATCGCTTTTAAAGTAAAAGATGGAAATAAAAACGAGATTGACGCTGCTTTAAGTATTTTAATAAAAAAGTACAGGTACATAATAGAAAATAAATTACTTATTATTACGATAAATATTTGGCGACAATTTTATTTAACACTAGCAGACTCCGCAGCCGTTGTCCTGCTTGAAATTATGTGTTTTGAAATGAAAAGGCAAAAATTCATATTGTGTTGATAATTATTTATTTGTGATTTTTCTACATTTTTTTTTTTCAGTGCAACGCAGCTTGATAAACAACATTTTTTGATTTCTTTTCCGATGTGTAAATGTACGGAGAAGATGGTTTTCCAACTCGTGAGCACCCACGTATTTCTGGCCATGTGAAAAACATAGCATTTCCAAATTTATGCCACACACTATGCGACTATCCTGTTGATCAAATTTAACTTTCACTGGAAACGGAATACGTTTGAACTCAATTGGCAAATCATTAGAACTCAAAACAAATCCGTAGAATCAAGAATTCTTCGCCTTAAATTTGATAGGTGCGTCACAATCAGATTGCGAAACATCATATCGACAGATCCAAATTTGAGACGCAAATGATCCAGTGGCATACCAAGCAATGTAATTTTTGGTCCTATCCCATTATTTACGCGGATTTGAAGGCTGATCATCGCGAAAAATGAGCGAACTTCAGTGGTATTCGAAGTAGCTATCGCATCATTCATCGTTTGATTCCAGTGATATCATGTTCTAGCAGTTGCAATTACTGGCATACTTCTCAAAGTTGCATACACCGTCCCATTCACAGTATGTTGAACCGCGTAAATTAATCAATAGCAACCGAAAGTAGAAGCAATCGTCGTTTTTCGGGTGGATTGTGTCAATTCGTCCTAATGCATTAGTTGGAATCAAACCTGGATGTCAATTTCCTGGTTGGCCTTGCTTTCTGTGTAAATATTTCTTCAACGATGCATTCTATGTATAATAGCAAGGCATTTCTCGAATAGAGCAAGTTCTCGCAAACGGTTCACTGAAATTTGAGAAAAAACTCAAATAAATATTATATGTTGTTGCTGGCGGTGTTTCCACTGGCTGTACTGTATTCTCTGGGTTGAAATAGACTTAACTGAAACGCAGTTCACGTATCGACCGTATCGTTCAAGACCAATAACCGCCATGTTCCTTTGGTGACGTATTTACAAACGTATTTTATCGATTACATCAAACTGCAATACGCAGCATTGACCTAACTTTTGAATTTGAATTAGACAACAGTTGCGAATATGGTACGATCCATGTCGACTTCGATGTGTTGTTAGTTTCGATATACACGCCTCTAAATTGAATACTAAATGTTCTGCTATTGTGAGCGACGCATATATAGTGGATATCCATCATTTCTAGTTTGTGTTTCCGAAAGAAAAGCACGTGGATAGTGTTTCGTGCATTTCTCTGCATCATTTCACAATTTGATCTGGTGTAAACACCATCAACAGAGTACATCTATCATCTAACAGCACCACATATACGTTGCTTCAATATAAAATTCATCAAATATCGTAACTGTTGTTTGTAAAGTCGTGCTGTGACATCGTGACGATCGCTTGCTGATTGACCGCGATCCATAATTCGGTACGTATGTCATCGCATCCTGGGAGTACTTCTTACCTTACCTTGCCGTGGGCAGCCACACGTTGATGACAAAAAGAACGCCGACCGATATTAGAGCTATCTCTTCGTGGCTTCGTAGCAAATTTCAATCTATAATTGATCACTTTATGTAAAACATACATAAATTTTTCACGGAATAATTTTCAAAAATTTTTCTTTTGAATAGGCGGAATAAAAAGCAAGCGACTGAAATTAAAAGATTCAAATAATTTACAAATCAAAATATTGAAAAACAAAACAAACAAAAATTTAAAAAAATTTGTATGGAACAAAATTACTTTTTGGAATTATCCAATTTTCCGACTTTTCCTCACGAAAAGCATACTGTTTCTTTTATTTCCAAACCTTCCCCGATTCACAGAAAACAACTTCTAAAAATTTAATCAAGGATGATGCAGATGTTCTCTTAGCGTTACTAACCAAAAAACATTCATTCATTTGTATGGGAAAAGAAAAGGGCTGTATTTAGGGGTTTTCCGGCAATTTTTCGAATTTTTCTTCCATCCATCCTTGAACCTCAACGATCATTTAGAAAAAAGAATCGACCAAATTGGTGCAGGCGTTGTTGAGTTATGCGCTTAGCAACGATTTGCGATTCATTTTTATATATGTATAAGAAGATGTATAAGATAGGTCTGTGATATGTGAAATAAGCAACATACGGCATAATGTCAACATTAATATTTCTGGTGAATGTATAGTCTATAGTGGTATTGAATAATGTTGTCGGTGATGTTTGTACGTAGTTGAGGCCGAATTACTTCCTAATGAACTTAACGAGATAGCTGTTCTGTTGTGGATCGCAAATGAAATTGCCGCATAGAACGAATGGAGTCTCCCAGTCTGGATGAGGGCTCGGTATTAGTTTTGTTAAGCTTGCTGAATATGGCATGAGTGATTGATAAAGACATAGTTTAACACCTTCAGCCGACGCCCAAGCCCGATGTAATCACCCATATCTTTGTCAAAAATACTGCAATCGACTTTTATGTCATAGTGCTTGTACAGCATGATAACTGATCTACGTACGAAACCACTCAAGTAATTTTATTTATGAATAAGTTTCTTTTTTATGTTGACGTTAAAAGCAAAATAGTTATCTATCCGCCTCCTTAATTGATGTACCATGCACTGCACTGCCTACATCGACAGGTACATTGATTACCTGGCCGACTATACCATAGTTACCTTCGTAGCGTAATCGACGAATTTGCATAAATGGTAACAGCGGTGAAATCAATTGAATGCTGATCGGGTCAAGCAGCGGCAGTCCGCTCGGCTTTGGAGAATAACGAAAACCGTTTGAGCGCGACAGCGTTGGGATTTTATTAGCATCTATCGATTTGCTACGTGTACTGCATAAGCGAAATTCCATCACATTTTCATCGGGTAATTTTGTTTGAAGGAAAGAAATGTTGCGATGTTTCACTTCTTTTAGTAGTTTATCCGCTGAACGCCAATGATTTTGCACTGCTTCACTTCTACTGATATTGACATCTCTCAGTTCTGTGGCAGATCCAATAGATATATCGATCGTTTGTTCATTCGTTACGTCCATAAGTATAGTTATTCCAGTGGTAGAGGTACTCGCGAGGTCGGCGGCAACACCTTTGCGACGTTCCCGAAACCGTCTCGCTCGTTCGGCGCAGGTCATTGGGGTACCTATGCGTGGCCCCCTCGTTGTAACGATAGCCGTAATTTATATTTCTGGCTGGATCTTGCACGAGCTGAGGCCGAAATAGCAAAAGTTTATATATTTATTATCACTTTCTGGTTATATTAAATATAAATACTGTCCAAATTACACTTATTTTTAATAATTCAATCGATTTAAATAAACTTGACAAACACACGGAAGAATCACCGCGCTATAAAGTCGGAGTCACGACTTATACTGAATAGAAACAAGCAAGAACGCCGGTTTCGCACAGTTAACGCTAATGCCTCCCCCCTGCCCCGCTTGACCCCGACAAGAACTCAATGTCATAACAGCGAGCTGACTATATATTCTGATATATTCACACCACATTTTTGTTTCTAAGAGTAATAGTTTTTAATTATTTTTGTATTTCTTTACAAAAAAGTAAGAACGATTTCGTAGATGTGCCTACTCGAACCACTGCCGCGCCCACAAAATCCCATGAATCGAAAACATATAAAATGCCAAAAAAGGCTCCTGCGATTTAAAAAGTTTTAAAAATTGGGCGTGGCTCTAATAGGATTGGGAGATGGGACTGACATTGCTCACATTCATCTTTCTTACTTTAACTTTCAGTACACAAATTAAGAACCATTAAATGTACCCGAATAAAATTTCGCACAAATTGAGTCCTCAAGGTAGTTCGTCTTATGCCCCAAAACTATCGAAGTCGGACCATAAATTTTCAAGAAGCCAGAAGGCAAATCTGTGCATCCCAGTGGTTTTTGCCGAAAATATCAGTCAATCTAGGAGATATATTATTGAAATTCGGGAAAATTATTCTTTGATAATAACATACCATAATGCTCTAGTGTCAAAAATGCGTTGAAACTGATCAATAATTCCCTTAGTCTCCGTATACCTAATAGAAAGGTTTTCGAAATCCCTGTGTGTTTTTGTAAAAACGGTGCATCTTTCTGAATAAAACGGACAAAATCGGGAGAAAACATACATCAGACACCATATAACAAACAAACATTATGCGCCTGAAGGTATTCCCCTGACTTTGATCCTGGCAATTAGCCAATGTTTGAAATAATCGGTTACATCCGAACGTATACCTTCCTTACTTGTTGTAGTACAATTTATTTTTGTTTCACAATAGATTTCAGTTTCGGGATCACCTCTTCATTCGAAAAAAATTCTTCTCAACAAGCATTCTTTTGAGATCTGAGAATAAGAAAGGGTCAGATCTGAACAATACGGTAAAGGTGGAAGCAATTTGAAGCCCAATTCATGGATTTTTGTCTTCGTTTTTACTGATTTGTGACATGGTCCATTTTTTTGGTAAAATAACACTTTCTTTTTCTTCACAACGGTCCAATAACGGTATGTAACAGTCGCTGTTGACGGTTCTTCCTTTTTCAAAGTAGTTCATCGTGTACAGTCCTCTCGGATAACTGTCGATTGGACTTCGGAGTGAAATGTTGGAGAAATGTTTCACGTATTGTCGACGCAAAAGCTCGGGTTTATTACGCTCAAACATCTCCGAATCATTAACACATCTCTGCTTTAGGCAAAAGTGAGGCAATAACTTCAGTTATTATAGACATTATATAGGCGGAATCAGACCAATACCCCAATACATATAAAATGTCATTAATCGAAGATCTATAACGTGCTCCACAATAAGATAAAACATGTCACGCGTCTGCGGTTGAAAATTTGTTTAGAAAGTAAGTGCCGCACCACCCAAATTTAATGGAACCATTTAAGTAATAATAACCGAATTTGCTCAGAACAAATCCGTCCCTACAAAATCTGTAAAAATGAGTAAATTCGGATTATAACCCTCTCACACCCCATGTAACGGGTTTGTTAAAAGCTACAAATCGAACTTCCGTGTGACTATATATCCCACATATCGGCCAATATGTAAGTTGGATTAAACCAAACTTAGCCTTTCCTTACTTGTTTGGGTTAATTTCATAAATATATGTTTAGTATATGCACAATTGAATTCATAATGGTTATACATATGTACTTACATACATACATATGTTTCTACAAATGTAGCTTTGTTTTTACTTTGCTCATATTTCTGAACAGTGTTCAAATGTGCTCGGAATTGTTTAATGAACGACTTGAAGCACGTATTGCTGCTATTTATGTTACGGTTGTTGACCCGAAGAGTGAAGAAGAGATTTTAAGGTCTAGACATGAAAAAATCGACATATGTAAGTACATACATACATATGTATAATAGTATATATTAATATAATACTATATCTTCTTTGTGCACTTCATTCACTTATAAAGTCTTCTTACTTACGAGTGCGAACGAACCAAATGGAAATAAACTAAAATGTCAATTTTAACATATATTTTATTAAATTCATTTATTACAGACACATACGTCTTAAGGGTTTTGAGATTTTCATACCAGCTTATTGCATTCTAATAAATTGTTACGGCTATATTGAACGTACAGACTAACATACACACATACAAATGTATATTAATCAATTTGTATTTCGTTTCTTTCATGTACTCTCAATTCATTTCAATGTACTTTGAATTATTTGTAATATTGTTGATTTTGTACTAATTTAATAATATGATTAGGTATACAATTTTAATTGGATGATGAAAATAAATGATTCTTATCAAGTCTAAAAATACAAAGATAGACGTACAGGGTCAAATATATGGTTACGTAGGTATGTGTATATATAATGATACTTATATCGAACTTTGACCGGCTAAATAACGTAAGTCAATCAGATTCAGATAAAATTTTCCGCCTAAATTCTATACATTATATTTATTATTTAAAAATTATTTTGATTTTGATGTAGGTAAGTCGCTGCGTCTGGGTGATAAAATATATTTGTTCATGCAAATGGTAAAACTATGAACGCATTTCTGGCAAAAAAAAAAAATAACTCGGTTTACAACTGATAGTTGCTCCACTTGAGGCTTACAACTAAGTTCAGACTCATAATAATTTGAAATGTATAGGAAGCGTTGCTCTTTGATGTTAAAGGTAGTGGTAAACAGAGTTGCAAATAAAAATTAAATGCTCAATTCTTAATTCAAACATTTTCAATCACAAAATAAATTTTAATTTTTTAATTCCAATTTTTTTTTTTTAATTAAAAAATACATGGTGAATGTAGATTTTTTTTGTTACTCTTGTTACTTCGCAAAAAAATAACATTTAAATCATACTTTTCTGTCGTCTACACCTGTTTCTAAACCTATATTACCGATACTTTTATTAGGAAATTTTGTTTACAAACCTAACCGCACAATTTCTAAACTTGCTTCTAAACCTATAACACCTTTTTTAATATGCAAACTTATTTACAAACATAACCTCACAATTTCACAATGGCTACGTTCGTCGTTACCAAAATGTAAATGCATGGTACAGTGAAATAATATTTTGTGTCCGCTATTTTGACGGTTAAAGCTCGATATATTCGGTAACTAAAAAATAATTAAAAAAAAAAAAGCAGTAATAATAATGTTTATAGTGTTAACTTAATACCACTCAATGCAAAAAATGTCAGTCACAAGATTTCCACGCTTAAAATCCAGCAGCAGTATCAGTTTCGCAGTTTTTGTAAAGAATTAAATCCATTACACTGTCATGTAGTGAATGCGCACCATCCCAAGTGCAAATACCGCAATTCTGAAAATACCTTTATTATGAAAAAATTTCAAATTCCTTTATATATTTAGCAATACTTACATCACATATATAAAAGTGTTCTTTAGAACGCAATATATGAGAGTTAATGCGGTTCAGCTTGATCGGCTTGCCACGATAGGTGGTTTTTGATTTCAAAACATCTTGGTTCACATTTACTAAAATACGGTATGAAATTTAAACAGTAGCTTTATATATTTGTATATACGTACATAAGTTAAATGTGCGTTCATATGGCGATACATTGCCGGCACTCAACTCCTTGACGTCATCCAAAGCCTGTCCATAGCACATAACCTGCAATTCATGCCTCAGTGCCAAAATAAATTCATTACTATTGCAATGTAAGCAGCGTGTAAATAGATTGTTCTCGTAGATTTTTATATCCAATAGTCGTATTATATTCAACACTTGCTCTACGCTGGTATCATTCGGTATTAGCAGACATTGTGTTTGTGGCAATATTTTGAGGAATAAGTCATAACGCGTGTCCCTTGTGAGTACATAACGATTCTCTCTTTTGGCTATATTCACATAGTGGCTCAAATTATCTTTGATTATTTCCATACAGTCAATGCCTAATTTGCGTAGCTCCTTGGAGAGGCCATATAACATTCTATCGCAGATGAATTTTGTGCTAATTGTGCTAAATTGTTTCATTAAATATAGAGAATTTATTATTAACACACTTATAAACAAATGTACATATGTGCAATATGCATGCGTTTACCCAGCAAGGTTAGCGCTGACAACAGGAACTTTAGCTATATTGCCTTTGGCGGGCACAGATGTGCTGCTTTCATTGTTGTGTTCCGTGAAAGCACGTTTCATGCGGAATAAGTAACCAGTTTTACCAGTTGTCACCTCGTTTACTACCTCGTCCAAATCCAGGCCTATGCCTAAAAGAATCTCCACAATTACTTGGTACACTTGCAGCAAACAATGCGCATCCAACGCTGCACGGGAGTAAGTATACATTAAATTGGTATAATTTGAATTAAATTTAATTTAAAACACTACATTAAGCGTGTATTTTCAGCATTTTTCAAACAAAAATATTTCATTTATTTACCCGCATAAACAATTTGGTCGTGACGCAGCGGTCGATTGGCCCAATTGGAACACTGATTTGATTTGTCCAATTTTTTACCCAAACACAATTCAGTTAATGCACACAAACTGCCACCGGAGTTTGAGCCACAACCGAATGGAAATTTGACAATTTGTAGATACTTAAGTCGCCTCCATAATTCACGCAAGTCCAAGTAGCAGGTTTTCGCATTCAAATTTAATTGTAGCGGCAATGATTTGTGTAACATACGCAAATCTTGATGTAAGGAAAACCCAACTTTCAAAATCTCTAAATTGTTGAACACTCGTTGACCGAGCTGTTGCCATAACTCATCGCTAAGTTGTGAAGATAGACAATCCAATAAGTAAACGCGATACGGGGTAGCTATCTGTAACAGCGATATAACGTTTTCATTACAAACCGATGGCTTCCACTCGGAATCGAATGCGATAAGTAATTGTCCTTGTAAGTATTCTAACATTTCATGAAATTTCGCACGATCATCGATTAATATAACACAGTCAATGGGTAGTGCTAACGTTAAATAATTATTAGGTATAGTTGCATTTGCACGTTTTGATTTGTTAGTGGCGCCTCCGTTATTTACGGCACTTGTAGTTTCACTGCTGCTGCTGATATTTAGCATCTCAATTTCATCGCTGTTTTCTGAAGGTTGGTGCCGTTTCAAATCCTCGCGTATATCGTCTGCTATTTCCTCCAGTGGTATGTTAAAATAATTTATCCAATATTTCACTTCGTCAAAATCGCCATATGAGGCTACATTGGTTATCAAGTCCATTTGTAATGGCTTGGTACTGGCGGCATCACGTGCCAGTTCACGATATGCATCACAACTCATGCCGCCATCGCGATATTTGTGCCATAAGAAATGCATATAAGAGCAAGCCTTTGTGAAATTGAGATTGGGTGTAAAATGGCTGTCAATTTTGTATGTCTTCGCCAAGCGTGTGACTAGCTTGGACATTGGGCGATACGTTAAAACAGTATGTTTGACGTCTTTGTACTCATATTTTCTATAAGATAAAAACATTTAGTCAGTGAATTTGTGAATAAAGCTATAGTACAATTTAAGGGCTTTAAACTTACGTTAATATTTCATCACAATGTTCAAATACAGTCTTTTGTTTATCCAGTAAGGAGTCAAGGAATTGTACAGTGGGCAACGCTAAATCCTTAGCAGCATTAAGATACATCTCTGCCAGTGGCACTTTATCTTGTAATATTAATGGGAATATAATATCGAAAATGCCAAAAAGGTGAGTAATTTGCAAGTTTATCGTCCAATACGCAGCCTGTAAAAATTTGCAATTAACTATTTGTGTAAATATTTTAATTATATTTAATAATATACATCTTTGAAGTGTCCTTGTCTTATTAATTCCTTTATTTTAGGCACCAACATTTCACATATTTTATTCAGTTGATACGTGATCATCACAGATTTATATAGCGATACTATACCGCAAGTCTTCACAAAGTTGAAAGCAACAATGCGCGTGTTGTCAGAACATTTAGCTGATATCTCTGGATATTGTGTATGGAGGTCACAAATGGTTTCCAGTACTACATACATATTATAGAGTTTGATTAAGACACAGCTAAAATATGTTAAAGACAAGTCTTACTAAATAACGCCAAGTTTTTGTTTTTTAAATTATTACATCCTGGACAATTTGCAAACAACTTTAAGGCAAGCAAGAGAGGATCTGGATCTCTGTGGAGCATCACTTTGAGATTGTGTTGAGCAGAAGGGGTGCGTTTGTCTAGACAAATTATATATGTAGTTATGTAGTTTTTGATATTGTATTTTTATATCTGTTTTGTGTCTGGGTTTTTTAAATATATTGTGAAACTATTAATTTTTTATAAAAAAAATATACTTACATGAATTCCATTGCTCTTTGTAGTTCTGAAACCAGTTGTCGACGTCGGCGCTGAGGGTGCGATCGAAGTTTTCGTTATTCAGCCCAGCAGCAATAGTTATATCTGGTACGACGGTTATTTTCTGCACCATATCGGAGATACAACTAAAGTCCGGGTCGTCTTCATATCCAGCTGGAATACCACGATAGCTCATCCTTAACAATATTTCGCAACGTAATTTTGTATTATTTTTTTTAATGATAAAGTAAGTAATTCCAAATGTCGCTAATGTTGAGGTGCATCGCACAGCGCTGCCATCCTTTGCAATAAAGTACATTATCGAGCTTTCGCACGTTGTTCGAAATGTTTTATTATTTTTTATCAATCAGAAATATATTAACAAAATAATAATTTAACACATAATATCAATATTTCATAATATTTCTTAAAATAATTCTATAATTTATTATAGATATTTTTATTTTATATAAAAATATTTAATTTACTTAAAAAACATTTGTATTAATGGCGATAAAGCTCGTGAGCACCCTTTAATTGACATATTTGAAATTAATTCGAACTGTTATCGATTATTTAAATGTCGCCTCAATCATTCCTAATAATATTTTATAATTGTTTGTGTCGGGATGCGTCAATTTTCACCTCGCGATATAAGCCAAGAATAACGTGAATTTGCTGGGAACGTGATAAAAATAAAGGCTTGAACCGTTTTATTCGGTGTAGCCAGTAAATATATTATTAGAACAATGGAAACTACTGAAAACGGTAAGAGAATCGAATATACGTACATATATAGACGTGTAAGCTATAAGTGAGGTTAAGTTTCTTTTCACAAAAGTTTTACACATTTCTAATATCTTTTATAGAAGTTTCTAATGGAACAGTTGAACCCATTGTTAATGGCACTAGCACATTAACGCTTCCTGAAAAGGTTATAGAATCCGAAGGTGGTCTCCCAAATCCGGAAAATAATGTAGATGACGCAGCCATAAAAACAACAAATAAAGAAAATCTGGAGAATCAAGAAATTACCCACAGCCCCAGTGTTATTGATAAGACTGCAGAGAAGTCAACGAAGTCACGCTCGGCAAGCCCTCAAACACCAGCGTCTCCCACTAAATCAGATGCTATTAACGAAAAAGTAGAAACTGAAAATATAAATAAAAATAGCCCAAGAACAAAAAGCCGTAGTCGAAGTGGCAGTCCAAACACTAATAATGTGCCAGCTGAAATTAGCACAGAAAGCAATAGAATTAGCCGTAGCCGTAGTAGAAGTGTAAGTGCTGCATCTAAAGATGGTTCCATAAAAGACGCAAGAAGCAAATCAAGGAATAAGGACAGAAATAGAGGTTCCATAGAACGATCCAGATCACGGAGTGGCTCGATTCGATCTCGAAGTGGTTCAAAAAGACGAAGCCGAAGTGGATCGAGACGTTCCCGCAGTGGATCACGCCGTTCGCATAGTGGATCGATTCGTTCTCGCAGCCGCTCAAGAAAATCACGAAGTAGATCGCGTCGTTCGCGGACGGGTTCTCATCGTTCGCGCAGTGGATCTGTACGTTCTCGCAGTGGTTCACGCCGTTCTCATAGTGGATCCGGCCAATCACGGAGTGGATCTAGACGCTCTCGTAGTGGATCCGTGCGATCGCGCAGTGGTTCCAGACGTTCTCGAAGTGGTTCAATCCGATCACGTAGTGGTTCCAAACGTTCACGCAGCGGTTCAAGAAGATCCCGAAGTGGTTCAAGACGATCGCGCAGTGGTTCATATCACTCACGCAGTGGTTCAAGACGATCGCGCAGTGGTTCAAGACGATCACGCAGTGGTTCTAGGAGGTCACGAAGTGGCTCTGTCCGATCTCGTAGTGGGTCCAGACGATCGCGCAGTGGTTCTCGTCGGTCAAGGAGTGGTACTCGCTCACGTAGTGGATCCCGTCGTTCGCGTAGTGGTTCAGCAAGATCTCGCAGCAGATCTGGAAGTCGTAGTAGCCGAAGTAGGAGTCGCAGCCACTCTAAGTCTAGATCTAGATCCCGATCTGCCTCAGTTGCACGCTCCAGATCGAGATCACGTAGCCACTCCAGATCAGTATCTAGATCGCGTTCGAGGAGTCATTCACGATCGCCTTCCGTTGTCAAGAAGAGTAAAAAAAGAAATATTCTAAGCGATTCTGAGGGTAAGTCTACTTCGAGGAACTAGAATTATACGATTTATAAATCAATTATTTATATTAAAGATGAAAGTCCTTCGACTACACAAAAGCGCGCAAAAATAACAGACACAGATAATGAGGACGAAGAGGAGGAGAAAGATAAAGCAGTTACCGAGGGTAATGAAGGCGAGTCTGCTCAGAAAAAAGCCGATGAAAGTTCTGATGATGAAAATATACCGATTGACGATAGCCGAGAGTATGTATCAGATATAATTACCTTGTAAATTATAAATATTTCTTACAAATAATTTGGATTTTAAGGAATGATAACTTCGTCTCGGACTTTGATGCCATGTTACTACGTAAAAAGGAAGAAAAGCGAGTACGTCGTCGGAAGCGTGATATTAGCTTGATAAATGATAATGACGACCTAATCGATCAGTTGATTGTCGGCATGAAAAATGCAGCAGATGAAGACCGTCAATTGAACATGGAAGGCAGACCCGCAACGAAAAAGATTTCAATGCTAAAGATGGTTATGTCACAGCTTATTAAGAAGGACTTACAATTGGCCTTTCTGGAACACAACATATTGAACGTGTTAACGGATTGGTTGGCACCACTACCAAACAGAAGTTTACCCTGTGTCCAAATACGTGACAGCATTTTAAGATTACTAGCAGATGTAAGCTAATTATTTTTCCAATATTACTATAATGGTAAAGTATTGGTTTATTTTGTTTTTATTTTTTAGTTTCCCACTATTGATAGAAGTTATTTGAAACAATCGGGAATAGGAAAAGCTGTCATGTACTTATATAAGCATCCACAAGAGACAAAGCCAAATCGTGAACGTGCTGGCCGTCTAATATCAGAATGGGCACGACCGATTTTCAATTTGAGTTGCGATTTTAAGGCGATGTCAAAGGAAGAACGACAAGAGCGCGACTTAGCACAAATGCCACGTCGACAGAAATCGCCAGAACCGCAGCCTACAACATCTTCGAACAAGAAAAAGGGTTTAAACTCTGCCTTTGCAAATTCTGACGAAAAGCCACTACGTCCAGGCGATCCTGGTTGGGTAGCCCGTGCACGTGTACCCCTACCGTCAAATAAGGACTACGTTGTACGACCGAAATCAACTGTCGAAGGAGAAATTTCATCGGTATGTGTAAAATATAAATACTGTTGCAATAATTTGCTAAATTTATTTACAATTTTTATTTACAGTCGACGAAGCGTAAACCAAATCGTTTCGAAAAGCATATGAAAAAATTCTTGGACGCCAAACGTTTGAAATCGTCAAGACGTGCTGTGGAGATCTCGATTGAAGGAAGGAAAATGGCACTGTAAGCTATGTGCAACGTTGTGGTCGTAATCAACATTTCTAAAGTGATAGAAAATCTACTACAATAACATGAATGTATTGTCTGTCCCATGTATATTCTATTGTAATTGTTCTACTACCCTTTATATGCCTAATGCTAACTGCTGGATATTGCTTACTGAAGAACCCATCAATAGGCATTAGAAGAAATATGTATGTTGAAATACATATATCACAGCGTTTTGGAGTATTTATGAAAATGTGTACCCATCGTGGTTAATGAAATTTAATTAAATATAAATCTATTAAAATTACCTCCACCTCTTTTCAATAACTAAATTTTATGTACTAAGGTCAACGAGCTAAATAAAAATCTAAAATACTTAGCAGCCAATTTATTGAGCATAAATAATCGATTGCAATGCATCTAATGGTGCATAATGCATACATAATAAATATCGAAGGATCCGTTATTCTTTTGAAAATACTGCAAGAAAGCAAAGTTATTTGCAAAAATAAAATGGCATTAAGCTCACAACTGGCGTTATTCATTTTGTAAAATTAGCTCTAAGAATATACATATTTCACAATTAACTTATTCTAATATTTGTCCGGCATCGATGAACACGCGTGCACTCAACGTATGAGAAGTTGGGGTGTTGGTCACCGTATTTACATATGTATACTCCATTGTGAAACCCACTTTCACCAAATCGCCAACTTCCAATGATTCGTCGGTTGTGAACGGGAGACGTATTGAGACCTTATTCGATTTACGCCAGATAATGAATCTTTAAATGAATATAAAAAATATCAGCATTTCTTTGTATGTTTCGTTTGAATAAATAAATTACTCTGGTTCCTCGCGTGGCGTTTGTACATCTTCGTCGAATTCAGTGGAATCGTCACGTTGATTGAGCACAAAGTTTAATTCGCTGTTATTCAATTTGACATTTGATTTTTGTTGAACAATGCGTGGATCTTCAATAAGTGATGTTTGTCTTGAAAGTGTGGTGGTCGTCAACGATGGCGAACTTGTTATTGATTTTAGCGATTCGGCAGCTACACTTGTTGCTGTGTTTTCCTTAATTTTGCAAGCGAGTTTAAACTCTTCAATCATTTCCAATTCTTCAGCAAGCGTTGGTAATTCCTTTATTTTTATAGACATGTCGTGCATTGTTGGATTAGTGAGCTTCAGTATAATCGAACCCGATTTTCCAGCATGCAACGCTTCTTCACTGCGCACGAGTAAAACGTCTGGAACGTGATAATTTGCGAACAGCTGTATGCGATACTTCACCGAAGTTGGATGATATTCCGGTTTAATCACATTATGCTCACATTGACGGCAACGCAAGGAACGTTTAATCCATAAAATTCTGCGTTGTGGATATAGCTTATTGACAGTGAATGGCTGATCGGATGGTTGGCCATGGCGTTGCTGAATATTGCTTACTGTAAAAAATGCACGAGTTTATAAAAATATTACAGGTATGAGTTGAGTTATAGTTATTTACCGTTACGCAAATTTATTGGCTGCGTGAAAACATCTGCGGGTAGATCTTCAAGCTCATCTGTAGCAACAGAAGGCGTGATATTCACGGGCTTGGCCTTCTGAGTGTTTTTATCGGGCCAACCGATTTGCCGACGTATCATCGAAACCGTCAAACCGGTGCGATCCTAAAATGAAATCGTATTGCAATTAATTTTTTTTTTTTCGTTTTTATATTTTTTTTACATACGGTCAGGGATGGAAATTTGTGTGCTTTTGGCGTTTTACGTCTTAAATACTCCTGCTTCTCTTGTTTGTCTTGT